CTAGTACGTCTGACACACGGGCTAGCTACAGAGTATATAGATGTGAAGTCCCGATACCGCCCTTCCGTTGTGACTATCGTGCCTTCAATACACAGAGCAGCGGACCCTAGCCTGTTCAAAATATAACGTCATGCGCTTTTCCGCAGCAATAAAAATGGCCGACTAGCATTGTTGGTAAAGGAGGTATAGAGAGATGGCTATCTGGAATGGAAGACTCAAACTGGTGGAAACTCTACAGAGTTGACGATGGCGTCAGTGTTCGGTACTCATGAAATTCACCACTGAGCACACACACGCACACAGTCACACACCAATAGATTAGGGAGCTGGCAAGTGAGGTTAACTTTCGCGTTCAAAGAAAATTACATGCATACGGACTGATCTTACTTCTACAGACATCTTGTGTTTCTGTTTTAATCTTGTAGGGTACTATACAGCAAATATATGATTACATGCATACATGCAACTGGTACATAATTTCACATGAGCTGACCTGTCCAGTTGAATATCTGGACATTGTTGACAGGCTTATTGCAGGACTTCCTGTAAACTTCCGTGATAAGAGCTGCCCCACCTCAGCCCTACTTATTCACCTGTGTCAAAAAGATGGCAGAAATATTTGCTAGAAAGCAGCAAAAATTTGCTCCTAAAATGGAGAATCCGGGTATCGACCCCGGTACCTCTCGCATGCTAAGCGAGCGCTCTACCATTTGAGCTAATTCCCCTATCTACTTCTAACATCAATTCTATATACACATACCGAGATACTCAGCGTAAATTTCACATTATAAAATTATCCACGAGGGAAATCTGTTGTAGATGTACAATGGGAAAAATAGGTGAAATGGTTACTCGATGACGTTCCAGTTTTTAAAAACATGTTCCCATTCTCCCATGTGTCCCAATTATACCTGGTAATTGAAATGAGAGGTAAGTATAGCAGTGACCAGTGTGCTGCACATCAGTCCCAGAGCAAACAGATAGCCATAGTACATTGGCTCCTGCAAAATAGCATGTTGGTCATTCACAAACGTGTAGAAAAGAACTGACTTGTTTGTTCTCAATGAAAGACACTAGCTGGTAGAGGAGGAGAGGCCTGCAAACCCCAGCAGGTCCGTGGTAAACTTGATCAGACCCAGTGGGTAGTAGTGCCACCAAACGCGCGGTTGACGGCAGAGAATAGGAACAGCAGCGATGTGAGACTGCTTTGCGGTTCTCCCATCCGTCTGTGAGCCAGTTTTTCCGAAACTTTGCACCATCCACGGACGGTCCAGGCCCAGTATAGTCTGTACTACTGTCAGTAGCTAGTCAATGGTGGGGTAGTGGACGGTAGTGGCGTCGTTCTTGCAATGGATCTCATCGCTACCTCTGAGTCTAAAAACGACGCACCACTTGTGCTCCACCCCTCCTCCGTCCCCTGTTGGCCACTAACACTCACGTTAACATCCACGTTTGTTGAAGCAGTCGCTACACTCCCTCTCCGTACCAGAACTTTTCTGAATTTCTCACGAATGAGGGAAGTTTGCAGAGTCTTTGGTAGTGGGGGAAGGTCAGTCGTTGATTCAAGACCCCCCACGGCACCTCGTCTCAGCAGAGGCCACACCCACAAGAAAAAGAGGAGAGACACGGGATTGGCACGGTCTTCGTACGCATTCACGTGCGAGAGCTCAGAGTCAGTGTTATCTCTAGCACTATAAAGGGCGCCATACGTTGAACCGTGTCCTCTATAAATCAATGGCTGCTCCTCTCTAACTTCCTCCTCCTCCTCTTCCTCGTCCTCTGAAGTTTCTCCACTCTGTATTGACACTGCTGTCTCCTTGACTCTTAGTCTCCCGCGACCGCCACCTGCTACTCTCTTACTAGTTGTAGCTGGTGCAGGGAAGAGGAGGCTCATACCATAGAGAACCTGCAACCCCATGTGTATGTATATTGACACTCTTGACTGGAGGGAGAAGTACATGTCCGGAGGCTCCGCGTACTGGTAGGGGGTACTGTTTAGCGTCCAGCGAACGGTGCTACGGAAGTGGAGGATGCTAGCCACGAGAGTTAGGTACCAGCTGACGTTGAGGACAAGGGGCCCCCTGCCTGTGTAGCCCAGTGAAGTGGAGAACACCCACAATGCAGCTGCATGGATCGTCCAAGATACGAAGCTCACTATCTGAGCTACTAGCACGGCGTACGGACGCTGCCTGTCCATCCAAAACGCAGCTAAGAACCCGACCAAGCTATTGAGGGCCATACACACGGCAATTCCCAACTTCAACATCACCACGAGCGGTCTCCTGTCCCGTCTGTATCTAGATCTGTAGCGGCCGGCATAGAAGAAGCTGACGGCGCCGAAGAGAGCCGCAGAAGAGGTCACGAACGCGAGGTACTGGAAGCACATCTCGAAGTCTCCTCCGATCAACCACTGGAACGAGGAGGGACTGGTGTCTGGAGAAGAGCCTGCAGCCGTGACGGGGACGTAGCAAAAGTGCTTCCACCCATCCATCTCGTATACACTCTCTTTTACGCAGCATAAAAACTAGCTAGTGCTCCTACAATTATACCCAGAGCCCGGTCAGTTTGTATGATGGGCTATAATTAGAATGCAAGCCATAAACTGCTGATTCAGCAAACAAACGTTAACCGTCGGCGGGAAACATGAAACGAAAGTACCCCCGAGCCACTCTCAGAAAGATCATAAAGGGAAAGAGGAGTGTTAACCTGTCTAAGTCCGTGGACATTGCCGTGAGTAACACGCGTTTAGAGCTCGTATGGTGCTATGAATGCTGTACCATGGATTGCAGGTGTTTCTGGGTCTAGTTCTGGCTCTCAATAAGCTGGCAAAGGCCGCCAGTAATAAAGCCCAAGAAGACAGGGAGACTGTCATCACATCCAGACACATTGCTTCAGTGGCCCCTGTAAGTTACAAGAATATGTTGAAGCAAACCCAGCCATTACATATCCCCTTTCTTGTGTGCATAGGATATATTGTCGAGTTTGAAGGGATAGAAGTGTACTTTCTTATCATCCGTAACACTCCCAAGCTTTTACTCCATATTTTGTCATCATGAATAAAACTATTTGATCGCTCATTTTGTTTGAAAATGGTGGAAACGTGACTATGAGTGAATGGTGTCAGTCTCTAGCTTGGGCTGGTATTGTCTGCAGCAGTTTCCAGAGCCAGTCGACGCTCCTCTTCAACTGCAGGTTCAACACAAAACATTAGTGTTTCAAATGGTGTGCGACTAAGTACATATATATACACGTATCATGCATGTAACATAGTGAAGGAGTGAAGCCTTTTTATACAGACTGGTATGGTGCAGAAACACAGCTGCTATATAAACACAGCAACATAAGTGAAACTGACCTCTCTCAGCTGTCCTTCTGACCATCTCTCCCAGCATCTTCCTCAGCTGGTCATACACTCCCTCCTCACACCACCCATTGGCCTCCTGTAGTGACAACCACATGACAGTCACATGAGAGTCATGTGACCTTACAACACAGGAGATGGACCCTTCATTATTGCGTGTTTGAAAGTTGCTCTCCATGCGAAGGTGACGCAAAGCTTTGTCTGCTGAGAAAGGAATTAAAGCCCGGGGAAAGGACAGTAATAGTTTTTTGACATCTCGTGCAGTGTGTGGCAATGCAAGTTGGTGCAGTGTTTTATGGTCTCTTCTGCCCAAAATAAACACTCACAGAGCATTCATCTTCTCTTCCATCGTTGGCATGTAGGAGAGTCTGCAGGGACTCATCTCGCAGGTCACACAACTGGTAGTAAACCTGTCTCTGGGTGGGCAGCTGGTGTGCAATGAACACTGGACACGCCTCTGTCTCAGGGGCATTGGAATCAGCCACGGCCTCAGCTAGCTGGACACTGTCCCCACTCAACTGGAACTCATCTTGCTTCTTACTCCCTGCATATACTGCACAGAGAGTTCTAGAGGATTACCACGCATACACTAAATTTCGAGGCACTTTTTTGCGGTTAGCTAATCCTTAAAGAGAATGTGGCAATACACAAGTACTAATAGGTCCCAGCGCAGGAAAGCAGTTTGCAGTTCTAAATGTAGCCCTTATATCAATGAATGGTCAGACGTCTACGCTTGGTCATAATAAGGTTTTCAGTGACACCTCTTAAACTTTTAATCTCGGAGTTCAAACACTTGATGTCACAAATACGTATATGAAACTCACCACTTATGTATGTGTAATTCTCGATATGAACTTTACTTACTCAAGCCTTTCCTGAGTTTGCTTCTCCTGGCCTCGAGAGTGCTGACAGCGGCTATCTCTCGTGGGAGGCGATAGTCAAGGCACTGGTATCGTTTGCTATCAGGGGTGGAGCGAGGGTCGTAGCCCAGTCTCACCCACAACATCTTCCACGGACCGTTTGTGAAGTAGTAGCTCACCAATGCCAGCAGACTGAGGAGAATATAAGCGTAATGTTTTGTTATACGCCCAGGCTAGCTATAATAAAGAGCTATAGAGCTAGGGGCTACGATCATTATGATACCAGTAAACTACATAATACCATACCATGGACCAACCATCATACGCAACTTCTGAAATTGGCTTGCAAAACGTACAAAAAGGTTATGACATCACACCATTTCACTCCATCACTGCATTCTCCAACTATAGTCAAGGTATTTAGGACGAACTGCATGCCAGTCTTTCCCTATACTTGTGTAAAAAAGTACGAAAAGATTAGGCAACCCTATTGTTACAGTCACTCCCCGGGATTATTTGCACTGCATTCTCCAACTTCATTACTCTTTCCCTACATAGACTGACATTATTACAAAATATGCTGCACCGAAGCTCTGATACTAATGGATCAAGTAGCTATAGTCAAAGTATTAGGATGGTTAGTTTGCCTTTACTCCCCCAGAGTTACATTAAAAAGTATGAAAGTTTGGCCACCCTATTTTCAGCAGTCAATCCTGAGGATCGTTTTTTACTGCACTCTTCACGTACTGTCATTATTTTGTTTTCACTGTGCCCTTCATCTACTGTCAGAATGGTTGTTTAGCCTGTCTAACTCACATTCGCTTACAGAAAATTAGGTCACCCTATGTACTTCAGTTTCACTGCACCCCCCAGCTATAATCAAAGTACAATACTGGTCAGTTTGCCTGTCCTTCCCTACACTTGCGTTCTAAAAGAACAAAAACTTCAGGCCACCTTTTGCAAGCAACAGACTCTGTAGCTGTAGTGAGGAGTACACATTACCTTCTCACTATAACATTTGGCAGCTTGGTTCTGTACTGGATCCAACCTCTTGACCAGATCGGACGCTCCTCAAACAACTGTGTCCATGATTGTATATAACTCACCATGGCACACAGCACACCAGAAGACAGCAGTTGATTTACCTTCTTGACAGCCTCTAGTTTTGTTTGGTGTAAGGCTGGCACCTCTGGCAGATCTGGATGTGACTTACTCGGAACAGCTGGACGACAAACAGTCAAGACATTGTTATAACCAGTGAGTTTAGAAGCTTGTTTGTGTCAACTACCAGGTGGAAAGGCAAAGGCAAAGCAAACAAGTCGACTACACCCAGGGCAACTCTTTTTTTCCAAGGTATAAAAAGAAGAGCTGCCCTAGGTGGGATTTGAACCCACAACACTATGCAGTCTAGGTCAGTTTAGGACCTTGCATAAGGGTTTTATCCACTATTATAGCTCCTCTATGACGGCGAATAAAGAATAGGATTGGAGAAAGATACAGAATGATAGAAATGTACTGCACTGTATATAGCTACTTGCTAAAGTAATGCGATAGATGAAGGATACGTCCTTTGTGGTCGAATGTGATACCGATGGCAAAGACCTGTCTCCTCTGTCTACTGCTGCCTGGGACCTGGTTCCCCGTCACCTTGTGTTGGAAATCTGGACGACTCCTGCATCAGCCATAATCTATATTAACACTGCATAATTGGGCATAATAGTGCCTAATAGTTGCCGCGGTTTGCAATGTGGCAGTACGTAATGGGCTACTAAGGATACAATAGAGCCCACTGCAAGAATGGAATTAAGTTCCAGTTTCAGTAAAAGTTTCATACTGTCACATTCATCTGCATCCATTTCCACAAACCTTCAAAAATCTGCAAGTCTGCAAAACTTACTTATGCACAACAGCAAGTTAGTACTAGCATATCAATGGCAGGTAGGCTTACGCATAGTTGGATGGCTTGTCAAACTTGCTGAATGCCCATGGAGGGAGAAACAGGGGGACGCCCCTGTCCTCAAATGCATCGTAAAATGGTTCTGAGAAGAAAGAAGAGCCTTGTCGATGTGTCACTGCAGAGCCGACCTGTACACGTACGTACCACTGATCTGGAAGATACTAGGGTCTAATGCTTCAGCTTTGTATGGCACCTGGTTCAACCCTGGGGGGAGCACTTGGAAGTCAGCCATACCTGTAAGGATACAAGATGGCGGCTAATACACAAGACACAAGATACTAATGTCGAGCAAGCCCATGCCGACATTGGATATGTGTAATTTCAAAGAAAAGAGAGAAGGGGCAAATACCCTGGTAGAGCAACACTGGGGTGTTTTTTAAGATAATAAAGACACCTTTGAATTGGTAGGTCAGTCTGACCATGCCCAGAACCTCCACTTGAGTGTCTGGTCCACTGCATCTTTCTCCTGACCCCCCTACTTCACCTCCCTTCCCTCCCTCCCCACTGCTCCTGCCTCGTCTTCGTCTCACCCTCAGTACCAGGTTGGTAACGGGCAGGGATCTACCCACCACTGGCTTGCAGAACCTGTCCTCTGGTCTCAGTCTCGCCTCCAACACATGCGTCTTCTCATAGTACACCTGGAGTCCCCAGATATGAGCTGTGGCCAGTGCAGACTATATAGGATACCTACCTTTTCTATACTCTTCATGCCACCGAGACTATTGATAGCTCTGTCCACATTGTCCACAAAGCCTTTAGAATGATTATGATACAGAGGCTGGAAGTGCAGTGCGATAATCTTCACCTGGGTACTGGATGCACATCAATTTTCTCTGGCCTTCAGGCACAGAAGCCACTATTAGACCACTGTCTCCTTCACCACCCTCCGCCATCAGTAGTATCCGGAGAGAAACCGGAAATATACGCGCGTATGCGGAGTGCACGTGTTGAAGAAAGACTATATAGGATGCGTACTACTTTCCCACTCATCATAGGGAGACTGTATATCACCAGACAATGCGCTAAGGTTAGAAGGTGTGTAAGGAGGCCACCGTCTTCTCTAAGTGACGTTCTCAGTCTCCTATACAAGAAAATCTCGCCATGAGTCACGTGATATGATCCTCTGTAGCTGTCCGCAGCCAGTATCTCGGGTGGTGTGCATGTGGGAGCCAGCAATGGGCGGCCTCCGCCGTCCGGTGAGCGAGGCAGGAGGGAGAGGAACTACCAGAGGAGCCAGGCGAGGAAGGAGAGGACCGGGGCAGCCAGAGACAAGGAGATAGACGTCCAATCCCTGCTGAAGAACATGAGGGAGACTGGTAGTCAGTCTGCAGACACCTCAACCTCCCTCAAGTAAAACCGTCTTAAAAAGCGTTGTGAAATGTTCTTCCATTACTATAACAGAGATGTACTGGCTGGGATAAAGTTCCACATCCCTCCAAATGGTAAGTGTGTCCTCTCTTTGTTAGCCAGCCAGAGAACTACACTAGGACTGACATTTTGGCAGGATAGTGCAGATTTATGGAAGGAGTATAATTTCATTTCAACAACTCTTTAGAGGAGTATTGATAGGACTATGCATATTAGGACATGTTTGAATCAACCAGATGCATACAAAATGTATTCCTCTCTCTCTCTCTCTATCATGTATTGAATGGTAGAGGTGACTCGTAGGAAGTTGGGTCTGCCTCCCCGAAGTCCCCTCACCAGACCAGAGAAGGAGGTGGCACGACTGAGGAGAGAGAGACTGCCAGAGAACTCCATCCACCCCTCGGCTGGTCCTCGACTCGGGGTGTTCGGTGACCCTGGACCTGACACCCAACTACTACCACCTGCTCCTCCTAATCTCGCCGAGGTAGACATATAACATAATACAAACATTGGGTGTTCACAGTATAATGAGAGAGGCTTTTGATGAAGTTCAGAAACGCCACAACCAAGAGCCAAGTGAGCCTGCTAGCACACTTTTCTAGCTGTAACAACAATAATGTGAAAGGTCACAATCACCGAACTTGGGTTTAAGCTTGTTTACCATTACATGTTACCCAGCTGTATTGAGTGTTCAGGTGGTTGGTTATCTCAGTGAGATTTCACTTTTGCCAGAGGGAGCATGCAGAGCTGGTGGCTAGCATGCAGAGCCTCAGACCAACCAACCAGTTCCAGCAGGACATGACTGACGTGGCTTTCCCCAGGCAGTTCCCCATCGACAATGAGACTGCCAAGAAGTATGTATATACTACCACACGTAACAAACTGTTGTGTTACTGTGTTGTGTGTCATGTTCTGTTGGTATATTATGTATATAGTGAGGAAGAGGGAGTAGGATTTGAAGACCACGTTCTACTGAATCACTTATTGAAGGGGTTCCCATCACGAGGTGCGTTTCTCAGATGTGAATTCAACACAACTGTATGAAGTATGCAGCATCAATTGCAAAATTTCAGTTTCATACATCTGTATATTTAGGAAATTACGGTATTGTAGGTGGTAATGTTGGATATTCAAAATCTCGCATTAAGACCACTAGGTAAGCTTGCTTTGCTCACCCATTTGCTAGCTATTTAAAAATTAAAGTACACAACACAGAATTGCACTCTCTTCCCTCTTGAATGATTCAACTCTAGTGTCTCCATGTTGTCCCCTGCAGGTCCGGTGCGTCACTTCATAGAGATGGTGGTGACCGGACTCTCCAAGAACCCTCACTACTCAGCCAGGGAGAAGAGAGAGCACGTCCAGTGGTACAGAGACTACTTTGCCCAGTCTCTGATGAAGAGCTCCAGGCCCTTCCCTCCTCCACTGCTGGGCCTGGGGAAGACAAACAGCAGTAGTGTAGAATGCTCACTTTATGGTACTCACGTACAGAAATAACTTGGCAAAAATGGTTGGAGTTAAAGTCTGTGTGTGGTACATAGCTATGACATGGGAATACCTACACAACCTACACAACCTACACACCTACACAGAATGCAGCTAGCTAAACAAAGATGATTCATCATAATATAGGGGTTAGGAGTGTAGTTGCACTAGCTAGGGTGTGGTCGATATATCATTGCCAACAGTAGACTTCTGTGGAAGATGAGCTTTCTTCAAGAGTACCCGGACCTCAGGCCATTTGTTCTCACCAACGTTCGACCGACTGGTAGACTGATAGGCTCGGGATCCTATGGCAGTGTTGAGGAGGTCGAGATGCCCGGAGTAACTTGTGCTGCCAAGAAAATCCACAATTTCTTCCAGGACCCCCCAGCAAGGTACCACGCGAGTGGACAGAAAAACATTTACGGCGTTCGTGCGCGAGTGTGGGTTGATGAGCACCACCATGACCAAGACCCCAGCAGGGTACCACCTGAGGGGATAGAGAAGGCTCTGGGGGAGTTTGTGAAAGAGTGTGGCCTGATGAGCGCCCTCCGTAACCCCACATCGTCCAGTTCCTGGGAGTGTGTCTCCTACCTGGCTCCCGGGTCCTTGCACTAGTCATGGAGAGATTGGACGCTAGTCTCCACGATGTTCTGGACCCTGAACCTCCCCCATTCACCAAAACCTTCATCCCAGTCAGTTTGAAGTGCTCCATCCTCCACGACATAGCCAGTGGCCTCTGTTTCCTGCACAGTCACTCCCCACCCATCATTCACCGCGATCTGTCGGCAAAGAACGTTCTCCGGACAAGGGGCATGGTGGCAAAGATATCAGACCTGGGCATGGCTCGGATCGTGCCCAGCCTGCGAGCTGCCACCATGACCAAGGCACCAGGTGCCTCCATCTACATGCCTCCAGAGGCACTGGAGGATGAGTCAAAGTACGATGTCACTATCGATATATTCTCTTTTGGGGTTATGTGTGTTATGCTTTTCTCACTTGCAGTGGCCCATAAGCCTACAGTGGAGGCGTAGCAAAGACCCGATTGGTAAAACAGAAGGTGCAAGTGCAGTCACCATTGATGGAGTTATGTACTGTGGTGGTTCTCTGGGATCCACACACAGAATGTACCAATACACACCGGACAGTGATACATGGAGTGAACTCACACAACCACCTGTACGGATTTTTTACAACATCGCTCAATGGGAAATTAGTGCTAGCAGGGGGTGGTAATTACAAAGGTTTTGATGTGAACAATGTTACAGTGTGGGACAGTGATAGACACATGTGGACCAACCCCTACCCACCCATGCCGACAGCTCGGAGCCAGGCAGCTGCGGTGGGGTACAAGAAGTATCTAGTGGTGGCATGTGGGTTCCCAGGTTTAGCCACAGTTGAAGTATTGGACAGCTCCACCGGGAGATGGTACACTGGCGAGCCCCTGCCCGTGGGTGGCCGGAAAATGTCTGCAGCACTAGTGGGGGACTCCTGGTACCTTTCTTCCTTACGGCAATGGCATGATACGAAATATCACATTTTTAAAGCTAATCTTCCCACTCTCATAGACAATGCTATGTTATCCAAGGGAGATGCTGCACCAGTATGGCAGGAACTGCCGCCAGTGCCTCAAATAACTCTAGCAACCTTCAAAGGACATCTACTAGCTGTGGGGAAGACGATCCAACACTATGATCTGGAAAATGATGTGTGGGAGATGCTTGAATATTTACCTTTTATGGCTTGGGGGGGTGTGTGCTCTGCTGAACTTTTCGGTGGTCATGGTGGCTTGTTGCTGTTTGAAGGTTCCAGGCTCTATATTGGAACACCTTCTTAACAAGATAATAGCCTGCTAATTTGTACCGTCATACATTGTACAGTAATCTGGTGTGTATTAGTTGTATATATACCCCCTTATCCCCCTCAGGCAAGACTTGTAGTAGTGGTAGTGTGTATTCATCTGTGTTAGTGTACTGTCTTGCAGTTTTCATATATGTTCCTAAATAAACCACAAACATGCTTGTCGATACTGCATGTACGTAGAATAGTCTCAAGGGAAAAGTCTTTTAGCCAAAGTGTGCGTGTGTGTAGTGTTTTTGTGAAAGATGCCCGGAGCCACTTGTGCTGCCAAGAAAATCCACGACTTCTTCCAGGACTGAACGTCTATTTATATGTGATTGGAACTGCACATACCATAATTTTCTACCTGATTCTTATAATTATGTGCGAAAAATTGAGTCTCGCTCGCACACCAAAAACAGTAATACCTATTCTGACAAAGAACTTCCTTCATGCACTGTTGAGGAGAATAGGCAGTGTGTGTGTGTGTAATGGGAGACTCACTATAAGTGGGGGAATGTTTATTGTAGCAATGTTAGTACACAGTGCAGAACTTGCAGTTTTCATACGCCTTCCTAAACAAACCACAAACATGCTTTTACTGTCGATACTGCAGCTGCATGTACATATATAGAATAGTCTCAAGGTTGGCCGGGGAGAGTGTGGTTCTGTGGAAGATGAGCTTTCTTCAAGAGTACCCAGACCTCAGGCCATTTGTTCTCACCAACGTTCGACCCACTGGTAGACTGATAGGCTCGGGATCCTACGGCAGTGTTGAGGAGGTCGAGATGCCCGGAGCAACTTGTGCTGCCAAGAAAATCCACAATTTCTTCCAAGACCCCAGCAGGGTACCACCTGAGGGGATAGAGAAGACTCTGGGGGAGTTTGTGCGCGAGTGTGGGTTGATGAGCACCCTCCGTCACCCCCACATCGTCCAGTTCCTGGGAGTGTATCTCCTACCTGGCTCCAGAGTCCCTGCACTAGTCATGGAGAGATTGGACACTAGTCTCCACGATGTTCTGGACCCTGAACCTCCCCCATTCACCAAAACCTTCATCCCAGTCAGTTTGAAGTGCTCCATCCTCCACGACATAGTCAATGGCCTATGTTTCCTGCACAGTCACTCCCCACACATCATTCACCGCGATCTGTCGGCAAAGAACATTCTCCTGACAAGGGGCATGGTGGCAAAGATATCAGACCTGGGCATGGCTCGGATCGTGCCCAGCCTGCGAGCTGCCACCATGACCAAGGCACCAGGTGCCTCCATCTACATGCCTCCAGAGGCACTGGAGGATGAGTCACGATATGATGTCACCATCGATGTGTTCTCATTTGGAGTTTTGGCCATCTTTGCTCTCTCGCAAACCTTCCCCAGACCACTCGCTGCTGCCTATATGGACAGTAGAAGAGTGATGGTAGGTCGTACTGAGCTTGAGCGCCGGGACAGCTACATACAACAGATCAGGAACGAATTAAACGACGGTCACCCCCTAATCAAGATGATCCAGAAATGCCTCAGCAATCTGCCTGAAGAGCGACCAAAAGCTAATGGTCTTTTTCAGTTCCTTGAGCAGGGCAAGGCCAAGATTAGTGACGACAAGTTTAGCGAGAGCAAACTGTCACTGATACAATCTCTGAGACAGACAACAGAGCTGCTAAGAAAGAGCGATAAACTCTTGCAGCAGAAAACTTCAGAGGTGCAATCTCTCAACCAGCAAATCTCGAGCATGGGAGCGCTGATAGAGTCACAGAGAACACAGATTGAGCAGTTGCAAAGAAAATTGCAGGTAACGTTAAATGCCGTGGTTTGTATCGTTACAGATTCATTAATGTTTTTTACAGAAGATACCAGATGTCAGAATTGCTCGCTCTGACAGCATACCTACTGCGGGATCCAGCAACACTGTAAGTAAACCAATGACAAACTTTGTGCAAGGACGACACCCACAAAGCCATGCACTTGATAGTTTTTGAAAACCACAAGTTGCACTTTACCTTTGTTCACCAAAGACCTTTCCTTGTATGTACCTCTCAGGAAATGAGGTGGCCCCTCCCACTACAGTGGAGGAAGGGGAAGGACATCCCCACTGGGTTGTGCACAGCCTGTGCCGTGATCATCGACGGCGTGGTCTACTGTGGAGGAAATTCAATCAACTCGTCCGATGTAGCCATGTACAGCCCGGACACCGGGACGTGGAACTTGCTTCCTCCCTCACCCGTGTTCGACTTTTTCCTGACGTCGCTCGGCGACCAACTGGTGTTGGTTGGAGGTAGTAATGCTAGTGACGAAGACGTGAATGCAATAACAGTGTGGGACGGCGAGTGTGGTAGGTGGACCAACCCCTACCCACCCATGCCGACAGCCCGGAGCCAGGCAGCTGCGGTGGGCTACAAGAAGTATCTAGTGGTGGCATGTGGATTCCCAGGTGTAGCGAATGTGGAGGTATTGGACAGCTCCACCGCGAGATGGTACACCGCACAACCGTTGCCCGTGGCTGGTTGCAAAATGTCTGCGGCACTAGTGGGGGACTCCTGGTATCTGTCCTCGTTTGGGAAGTGGGACGATGGGAGGGAACACCTTTTCCAAGCCCACCTCCCCACACTCATATCCAACCTCTTTTCCCACTCTCGTGACCCTGTCTGGCTCCAGCTACCCACACCACCAGTACAGCACCCAGTTCTAATGGCCCTCCGGGGACACCTGCTACTAGTGGGTGGAGTCCACATGTGCCTCAGCATTCAACTAATCCATCGCTACGACACGACCGAGAGGAGGTGGAGGGACTGTGGGCAGTTGCCCCTGCCGTTAAGCGGTGTTTGTGCGACTGAGTTGCCATCCGGTGAGCTGATGGTGGCAGGGGGACTGAGTGGCGAGACTAAACTGTCAAACACCATAATGATCGGCATCATACAGACTCGCTTTCAGACCAGGAACTAGCTCTGTGCGCATTAAACGTCAAATGCTTACACATCAAGTTAATTCAAACGACTAAAACAAAACATTTCAACACAGGGGAGGTTATACACTCACCCTCAACAAGACTGTTATATATTTACTGTGCTACACTGCGTGTGTTAGGTGGCGTATCAGTTGACGTACTAACATACTGCGAGTCAGTTTCAGAGTCTGGCAAATTAACTTTATTCTTCTTTGCTGGAGCCTCTGGATGTTTTAGAGACTCCTTGGCCTCAGCTATCGCTATCTCCTGAAGCAAACCCACACAGAATTAACCTATGATACACGGGAGGGTATGTTTGTAACTCACCCTCTCTCCAAAACCAATTGATTCTCGCCATAGATTTTCTTACCTACAAACAAGGTAGAAAGGCAAAGGCAAAGCAAACAAGTCAACTATGTACGCGTATTTTACACCCAGGACAGCTTATTTTTCAAGCTGCCCTAGGTGGAATTCGAACCCATGACCTTTGCAGCACTCTATCAACTGGTAAAAAATGGCATATTTCAGGTGTATATACCTAGAGTATTAACTTCCCGTTCGTCAGGAGATGGCGCATGATAAAACCAGTTCTTCGTGCCTCGTGTTTGACAGTCATCAACATGTTTCTCTCCTTCAACAGCACATACCAACAAACGTGAGGTAATACACTACTACATCAGCTAGAGGTCTGTGTCATTAGTCCTACCAGAGCTGTGGAGATCTTCGTTGCTCTTTTGCCTCAGCCTGGCCTCCCATTGCCTTCTGTACAGGCAACACAGTCACACTTAAAACATCAACAGAATAAGTGCCTCTGCCACCATAGGATCTAGGCTTGCAATTTACACCAATAGTTTCTTTGTGGATCTTACCTGCACTTTCTCCCTCTTCTATGACGTCACCCTTGGAAAAACTCCTCCAGTCCTCTCAGAGCCGGAGAACTGTGCAAACCGCGGAAAGCTGCTAGTGCGCATCAATAGGGCAGGAGGTATTCTTCCGATTGGAGCGTCCCTGTAAACCATGCAGAGAGAGGTGACATCTGAAGAGGAGCTTTCTATTGTGTCGAGGTAGTCTCCAGTGTCTGAAAAATGCATCTGACGCAGATCCGCAAGTCGACCGACGTAGAAACTCCACGTGTGGTTTGGTGGGCGTGTTGTGTGATCACCTGACTGTGAGTGTGCTCCAAATAGAACTTCAGCCGTCTTCTTTCGTGGGGGCTAGTTTCTTGCCGTGATGGACGTGCATGGCTTGCCTATGTGGGGAGGGAGTGGACTATACAAAGGTGAACTAGGAGTACGATACTGTTTTTCAATAGCTCTACTTGCCGCGTGTGCAGGTACCTGCGCTAGAGCACAAGAACACGCTCGTTTTCCTCAACTCGTTCGTCACTCAGACTGCGCAGTTTCTCAACAGTTCTCGGCAGCTGTGAAGAGGTGAAACGCAGCTATCAGTAAAGGGTGCAGTATGCTGTCTAGTAATTCTTGCTAGAACTGCATAAAAGTCTGCTGTTGACATCTCAGAGACTTGGTGAGCTGAGTCTCCGGATACAGAGGCTGGATATATCACTCAACATACTAGAGGCTAAGGTGGGAGAGTTCTTATAGTAGTAGGTAATGGAACTGTTCTTGTGTGCAAACATATGTACCAGCATACATCAATAACCATCAGTATCTCTGCAGAGCAAGGTTCACTTGTCTGGCCAACATGAATGTGTGGGTACAACCTGTTTTTGTGTTGACAGCGTGGTTTTATTACTCTTCTTTCTTCCGACATATGAACCTCCTTTTTTCACTTTTGTACTCCCTATTGTGAACCTCTCTCTTCTCCAGCTATCATCGATCCCGGATCTGGAGGAGTGCAAGCAACACAGCAGTACCAACCACCAGAGGCTGTTGCCTCTGCCGGGGCTGCCCGGCCAGCTCGTCACAGCAGGAGGCCTGCCCCCTCCTTGCTCCTCGTCTACCTCTGCCCCTCCCACTTCCTCTGAGGTGCCTGCTCCATCCAGCGGTGCCGAGCAGCCTATATCACCTCCGCAGGCAGCACAGGGTGAGCTTATTGTAGGAATGTGGCAGGCTGGAATGTCAAAAGGGCCCAGAGCAAGAATGCAATAAGTAGATGTTTTAGTGACAGTTTCTAAATCTAGTCCTGCCACATCCTCTCTAACCATTACTGTGTGTGTCATATCTTTTTCTCTGCAGAAGAGCCTCAAGCAACAGGGAGGAAGAAGCTAAGGATGATCCACGATATGCGAGATACTTCAGATGAAAAGACTAGTGAGTTACTGTAGCTATAGAGGATGGCAGCACTTAGAATGATTTTTTTAATGTAGATGCGGTCTTTTGCTCCACACCCAATGAAAAGTGCATGTTGCATGTTCACAACTTCCACCAAACTAAAGGACGTTGCGAGATAACAATTTTGTGAATTTCATTTTTTTTTCGTCCGTTTTTAGGGCAACACGCATACCCCAGCTGACCATGTTTATAATAAAAAAACATTTTTCATTTGCTTCTTGCTTTTTGCCGCAAAACGTTTTTTGACTGCTGTTCCTTGTGATCTATATATTTGCCTCCCTCTCTGTCCACAGGAGTGAATCCACTGCAGATACAGATGGAGATGAGAAACCACGGCCTGGACCCAGACATTCTAGAAGACGAGGAGGCCGAATTACCAGATAGCGAGCAGGGGCAGGGCGGAGTTGGGGGAGCGAGAGCCGACACGACAAGACTCTGAGGTCGGAACCACTGCCTCTTCTTCATCGAGTGAAGCTTCGGACGATAGTTTTGAGAGTGACTGACAATCATTGTAGCATCTTTTTACGCCACAACATGCTGTGTGTGTTCACTTATTAAGTTGAAGCAAAGCATCAAGAGCAACATAGGCATAATAATAACTCATTGCACGCAATGTCAATATACCAGCAATTTATCCGGTATAATAATAATGTATTACTGTCTACTGTAGTGTGGTGGTAAAGGTCCCCAGCCGCTTGTTTCTGCCTCAATAATAATTATGATGTCTCTTTCATAAGCTTTCTGTTTTTAAAATATGATGATGGCTACAATTCTTCCTCCTTTGAAACAAGTTTTTGAGCTTCTTCTTTGGTTAGAATTGTTGGTCTGTGCTGCGAGATGTACTGCAGAACAAAGAGCTAGTTCAGTAGCAGGGCATTTTAGTCTCTATGGGCCTTCTATAAAAATGCTCTCCCATTTTCTGCTAACACTTTGGTATGACAATTTGGTATCACAATTGTACCAGTATCAACGTAAACATACACTCTGTGACTATAATATAGAGTTTGTCTCAACACACACATCTTGGCAGAGCAGTCAAATACAAGGCACCCTATCTCTCTGCTAGCTGGTATTATAATTATGATGACGACCTTCTTGGTGTCCTCCAGAGTGGTGTAGTGGTAGTCAGGGGTGATTGAGTCGGTCAGGTACTGGGCCAGAGAGCGAGAGCGGTCGACCAAACTCCTGGTGAGGGCCAGCTGGGAACGAACCAGGTCCTCCAGGGCATCAGACACATGCGACGAAGATGAGAACACTGGATGTGGATAGTGAAAGATGGTTATGGACAATACTTGTAACCCAAGTATAATAATATTAGAACTGCAAGACACTTTACATAGGTGCAAATTACTTTTAACTGCTTGAATTACTGAAAGGCACAGTATAAGGTAAAGTTGTATACAATGACACAAACCCTCATGATTCGTGTACATCGTAAAAGCAAGCTACTTGAATGGTTTGTCTGTCTCTGTCTGTGTGTCGACGCTTATTCTGGCACTACAGGCTACGAGACGGCCTATTAGCCATCCCAGCTGCTTCAGGGTATAAACTGTACTTATGTATATACCTGGCTGGCCAGTGGTGTTAGTGAGGAGGTGAGGAAGAAGAGGAGAATAGTGTGGGAGGTGAGGGAATTCAGGGAGGCTGAGGGGAGGTTGATGAGTTAGAGGCAGTGATGCTTCACCAGGTCCATCTGAAGAAAGTCAGACAAAGAGCTAACCTGTAAACTGAAATTACAAAAAGCATATTAGACCTTTGATGTACGGTGGTTCTCCTGATCCCTGGTGAAGATCTCCGAGCCTAGCTCTGTCTCTGGGAGCTCCAGTACTAAACACCTGCTGCTGACTAGTGGTAACCCCTCCACTACCGGATGTCCCTGGAGCTGTTTCATTTCTACTGCCAGGACCACAGACAGTAGTGGTCTGTTCGGACTGGGTCCTCTCCCCACTGCGAACTGTAATCTAGTTCTCCTGACTCTGTAGCAGAGTATCCTAGTGGCTTTTGCTTCACTATCTTCAGATCTCTCCCAGTATAGAGACTTGTCGATACTCTCCATTGATCCCTGCTTGTCTGGAGAGCTGTGCTCCACAGCAGGTCTGTCTCTGTTTAGAGAGTTGTGGGACGAGGCACCACTATCGAGAGATTTCTGATTGTCTAGGGAGCTGTGGGACAAGGCAGTGGTTCCCACTGTTTCATCTTCAAAGTCTTCATCGTATCTGACAGATGTTTCTGTGTCCTCTTGGTTTATCTCCTCACTAGTAGAGTGCAAATCGTCACTCTTCTGTTCCTCTGAACTGTTTCTGTCTTGTTCAGAGTATCTATGATGCACAACTAGCTCTGAGGGAACATTGACTGCATCTGGCAGTTTAGTCTTGCTCTCGGCTGGTAGGGAATCCAAATCGGCAAGAGACACGATATTGTGGAATTGACGACCGTCTTCAGGAGCAATGTCTTCACTAGTAGCAGAGCCTCCTTTATCTGGTCTCCCAGTGGCTCCAATTTTAGAGTTATGGTCTGGCTCTGAGTCTAGTGTCTCCAACTGCTCCAGTGTGAAGATGTTGTTTCTGAAGTGCGAGGAGAGGGCCAGGTCTTGGGACAGGGAAAGATCACTTGTGTCATCCTCAGTTGATTGGGAAACTGCCTTCACTTACTCGACGAGATTTTGTAACAGCAGAGGTCTTTTGCTTTCTCTGATCTTCCATTGATGTATGTGGCCCAAGATCTTCATTTAGAGGTTCAGGTGATCTTGTGTTAAGCTCTAGTTGTTTGGTGGCATTGGATGTAAGATCCTTGTGTTGAACGGCCGCACCTGGTTCACTCGCTATACTGCCCCCACTGAATGAATCAGTCATTGACATTGAATATGTGAGATCTCCATCTGCTGCACGTGAGAGCAGCTTTGGAAGAGTGTTGGGTGGTTGATTGGACAACTCAGCGGGGCCTTCAGCATCCTTCTTTGTTTTCTCTGAGCTCACAATTGGTGCGGACATGGGCTTCAGGAACTGTTTGATGTCACCATATTCTTCGCTCTCTTCCGCTTCAACCTCTTCCTGGTTCTGAATCTCCTCACCGTCTAGCAGTCTTCCCCAGTCAATCTCAGCTGCTCCCCGCTTCTCCGCCTTGCCCTCTTTGCGGCTCCTCTTTTTTCTCTCTCCAGCAACAAGAGATAAGTATGACTCCAACTCGCCTCCGTACTCGTGTGCACGGAGCAGACTGGCACTGCTGCTGGTGCGGGAAGAGACCAGACTACTCCCGGAAGAACTGGGAAGCGACAGAAGAGCTCTTGAGCTTTGCATCCTCGTGCCCCACCCTCTCTCCTCTTGTTTACTGGTGCGCGTTATTTGGAGTCGAGATTCCTCAATAAAAACCTGCTGCCTGCACGATTGCTGAGGCATGCAGCTGTGAGTTTGGTCAGCTAGATCTTTCGCGGAGCAGTGGAAATGGCCAGTTCCTTCATCGGAGGCTGTTGGAACGAAGCGAGGGATGAGACGGACGGCGGAAACGGTAAGTCCCTACGCCCAGCGAGTGGCTAATGTAGCTCCCGCTGATGTACACCGCTCTGCTCGCATGCATTGTGGCAGGCAAACTGTAACTGGACAAATTCTGTTCTTGCTCTATCCAGGAGTGCCCTCAAGCACGATCCGGCGTTCCGAGGCCCAATTCGCGGCAAGAGCAGGTTGGTGGCTGCCGTGCTGCTTACACTCCTGGACATTTTTTTCCGGGCAATAGCTGATTGTGTGGCCTGATATTGATTTCATACCCTGTGGAGTAGGGAAGGTCCTAAGTGATATGCATACTGGTTTGTGCATTCCATTGCTTTATAATAAGCTAGCTCAGGTTCCCTTCTACAGTATTATCATGAAAGTTGATGCTGACGAAATGTAATTCCCGCTCTTCTGTGGCACTCCCACTCTATTGTACGTGATAGTTTGCCAGCTAGAGCCATTTTTATAAGAGTGCTTTCTCTGCAACGTGATTCATGTAGCACGGTACTGACTGGCAAAGGCATGCTATACAGCCTTGGAGAATGTGCTCTATAGCCAGTTGCAGTCGGGCTGTTGTGCATACCAACACCTGTACTTGGTTGACGTCACTATAAGCAACTGGCCTGTTAGAAAGGAGGCCGCTGGACTAACATTTTTTGACAGTTGTGTGACGCTACTGACCAAACTGAAGCCAATAGCCTCAGTCAAAGTATTGAGTTAAGTGAAGTCAACCAGAATAGTTGTAACAAGAGATGGGACTTATACTATGCATAGATCTTTCTCTGTTAGTGCAGCCATCCAAGGCATTGTGTTCAGTATAATTGTACTGTAAACAGCACAGGGAGATGTGTCGTATGATATTACATGCCAAGCTTTGGGTGTGGTGCTTATTTCCTCCTGGTTAGCTACATCGTCACAACACCATGCACACACAAACCAACATCTTTACCACCACTGCATGATGTAATTGAAAAACCCCACACCCCCTGTACGTACTTGGTAGACTAACCACCATGTACTAAAACCTAAATGTTTTCTTAGTCACCTTAGCAACATTATGAAGCCTCGGTCAAAGTAGGGAGCTTAGTATGATGTCAACCTGGGGCCACACAACAACATTCACCCTTGTAGGACTCATGCTCTCCTGTCTCAGCTTATACACATACCTTTCTGGAGGATCTGTGAACCAGTGCTGTGCGAGGACATATTCCGCAAAAATTCTATTTTCGTAGCGTATTCATAGCTGTAGATTGGCTCTAGAGTGAAACAGTGCTGGGTTTGATATGACATACTGTCAAATAGCTGTGGCTGGTTTACATGACTTTTCCTACTCGTTAAGTTGTGGGGATACGTTTCACTTCCTCAAGTCATAAGACCAACACTGTGACCTGATACAGTTGCCAATTGCCTTCCTGTGCTGAAATATGAAGATTAGCTATGATGTAATGTTTGTTCTTCTCGTGTGTGGTGTGTGTGTGCAGGCGACCAAAAGATCTCATTTGCCTTGGAGTGTTCATAGCCTTTATTATCGGGATGTTCGCCATCGCAATTGTTGGTGAGTACACACCCATTATTCAGTGTGGCAGTACAATCACTATCAGACCTTCATTTAATCAAGGGGGAGCAAGTGTATTAATGGACAAGAGGAGGGGCAAACCCCTGCATTAGTTTGGTTCACTTACTTCACTTCAAGGGGAAGGGAGGCGAGTTTATGAAGAGGGCAAGTGCCCCCCTGGGTCTTTTCAAGCCTTGTCAGCTCTTGGAATTTTCCATAACTATGACGTTTAGTGTGTCATATTATTCACCTGAGAGTGCGTGTATAAGTCATACGTTAACCTAAACCCTATGATGTGTGTGTATAGCCTGGGTGGATGGAGAGCCTGAGAGACTGATCTACCCAACTGACTCCAGGGGAAGACTATGTGGAGTGCACGACGCCGTCAGGTATACACACAAAGACGCCATCTCACCACCACTAGGTGTTCTAGACTGCACGCAACGTTCTAGTCTACAATGTAATACACTTACTACAGATGTCCCTAAGGCGTATATATATACGTGCCTTTTTGTCCGCTTTGGACTAGCAAAAAACCCAACACTGCCCCATTGACACGGACAAAATAGAAACAGTTTGGAAACCAGTTGAAAAATCATGTTTACGAACCGGTTCAATGTAAACGGAGCTTTTGTCTAGTTATGTTCACTGCCATGACTATAGTGAGAAAGGAGGGGCGACTAAACATTTATCTTTCTCCAGGGACAAGCCATTTCTCCTGTTCTTTGACATCAAGCAGTGTGCCACAGTCGTCTCTGTCTCTGAGCTACTGGCTGGAGAAGTGGACACCGATACCATCTTCACCTGCCCCACTCAGCAGGTTCGTACGTACTGCCTCCAAACAATACATCTTGCCCTGTAACTACTGGAAAATTAACCGTCGTAGTGCTAGACCAATGCTAAAGCTACGCAACGTGGTAGTAAGCCTCGGTTCCACGCAAGTCGCTTCATATGTTGCTACGGCAAGAACAGCGGTGAGTTTCGTACACACCATTTAGTAGCTATGGGCAACATGCACACACACGTGATTTCCTAACAGTTTATATATAGGGTCAGTTTGAAGTAGACGGATGCCACTATTTCATACATTACAACAAACTGCTGGTTAACCATATTACATACATACACCTTATACAGTATGTAGAGGCAAGCAAAGCATTGTAATAGCATACCATTATTGTTGGTGGTACACGTAAAGGTGTTAAAAAAATCAAGCAAAGGTTACATAAAAATGACTTTGGTACATAGCGTTTTTTTTGCGGGAGTAATTACAGATGCTAGCTTTTTTCACTGTGTTACATCAGACTCTGCACACACACTCGTTGGTGTATTGGTTTTCGTGAGTGATCTCCAGCCATATAATCATACTGCCTGCTGGCTCATGACAGGTGTGTGTGGCCGAGTGCCCGGAGGAGAATGAGTTTGGAGTGAGGAACAACCCAGTGTGCGTGGACGAAGTGGATCCAGACAAATACCGCAACGTCACCGACCTGAACTCTGGTGACTCTAATCCACTCGTCCTGGTGAGCTAAGGGAGACCCTGGGTGTATATACATACCTGTTGTAATTGGGGAGTGAAGCAAACCCACCTACGTAATTATGTCTGAATTGTGCTGTGGTCATTCGCTCGTAAAAAATGTGTTGCAGTGTGTTTAGAAGTATAACTGACTGAACTGTGTGTGTGTGTGTTGTTGTGTCCAAAGGATCTGGTGCAAGACATTGCCAATGAGAGGTGTGCACCCTACTACCTCAGGAGTGAAGCCGGTATGTACATGCATGTTCATGGCGTCTAAAACCAATAGCCCTGGTCAATAGTCTTTTGTATGTGAGGACCTATTTAGATTGTATCACCTTTTGGGAGGCTTCCTTACAACCTGCAGCCCTTACATGTAACTTCAGACCAGGATGGGGGGTTATGTAGCTGTATAATACATATGTCTCTCTCTTCCCCTCTCTACACATGCCTCTCTCCCTCCCTCCCTTTCTCCCTCCTCTCTCTCCACAATAATGAATGTAGTTGCCCGGAGGTGTATCCCGACCTTTCTAGACCTGCGTGGGATTGTGAATGACACCATCAATTTCGAGCCTGACCCAGCACTGAACGACACCGATATTAGAGAAGTCATCACAGGTGCATCCATTGACTCCATTGTCAATGGATCATTGTGAGTTTTATTGCTACACTGAGGATCTAGAGTAGTAGGGCTAGGGCACTCAAAATTGACTCACTTGTTTGATTCCCCCCCCTCCTAAACCTCTATTCTTAACCATCCAACTTGTATATTTAAGACTAGTTATTAGTCCATTTACACATTCTGTTTTTTTCTCTACTGTTTTCACAGCATAATCTCTCTACAATGTTCTCCTTCTTTTTTCTGTTTTCAGTGTTTCCATATAATTATTACTATACTATACTATGTATGTATGTACATTTGCATATTCCAGTGCTCAAGCTCTGTTGGTCGAGGCTAGGCAATTCCTGCTGGAGGTGTATAGGGACTTCACCATCGTCTGGCCTGCACTCCTAATGTACGTCACTCATTCAGTTCTGTATAAAGGGAGGACGTTTAGTATAGTATCTTGTAAGTACGGTAGTACTTAGTATACAGTATAGGGATGACACAGGTTGTCCTGCCCATACATTGAGATTTGTACATTTCTGTATAAAGGGAGGACGTTTAGTATAGTATCTTGTAAGTACGGTAGTACTTAGTATACAGTATAGGGATGACACAGGTTGTCCTGCCCATACATTGAGATTTGTACATTTCTGTATAAAGGGAGGACGTTTTTATAGTAAGATTTGCAGATTGCCAAATGAAAGGGTTGGCATTTTTATTGCACAAGGAATAGTGGACCACTCACACTAACATTTCTATTGAGTATCTAGCATAGCATCTAGCTAGCAGTCTCATTGGATGTGTGTGTTGTTCTGCAGTGGTGTCGGTGTTACGGTGGCCGTGTCCTTTCTCTACATACTGCTGATGTGGCTGTTTGCTCCAGTGATTGTCTGGGTCACCATTATTGCTGTCCCTCTGCTTGTTTTAGCCAGTCAGCTAAGAACACAGCACTAGCACACACACACACACACACACACACACACACACGCACTTGCACTCTGTACCAAGTTTCCTTCATTTTTCTCATGTGGGAAACTATCCCGTTGCTTACCACAACAATTTCAACATCCTTGACAAAAAATATCTCACATTACTTTTTCCTTATTTGATACCGACGCTACTTAACCTTGCGGTATGCATTCACATTTCATATTTACAATGCATATACACATGCACAGGTCCACACTTTGTCGCGGAAGGTTAAGTTGTCACGTTGTCTCTCTGCCCCCCTACAGTCTCTGGGTTCTCCTACTACCAGTTCTACTGTTTCCAAGACACGGAGAACCTTTTCAACAGATTCGACTCAGAGGAGGATTCCCTGACTGATTTTCTCAACTCGACAGAGACCCTCTCTGCCAGACTGTGCGTGCAGACTGAGGTGTTTCGCTCCTTCATCTCGTCGCAGTTACCTTGGTTCCGCTACCAGAAGGAGACTTGGCTCGCCATTGGTGAGATGCAGTGTCCAACTCTTTGGTGTGCTTTCCTGCTGCATGGTTGGTATATGTATGTAGCCCCCATACAAGCATGAACCCAGAGTGTGTGTTATACCCATTTCTACCGGTACGCTCCATTACAGCATAATAATGTGCTCACTCACAGTAGCTAACCTTAACCAGCCACGGGCACAAATGTGTCCAGAGCCTCCATAAGTCCATAAGAATTTATATGGAGGTTATAAAACTAGGCGTTAATACTCAATATCTGCTTATTTAAGCAGATCCCCATGGCGTCGAAAGAGTTTTAACCCCACCCAGAGCATGCGTGTATTGTAACCCAGGCTTTCACATTAAAGGAATCTCTGATCGCCTACATTCAAGTTAGCATGTTATGCACACGTGAATGGGACGGCCTGAGTCTCTTCACTGAATCAATAATTGATTGAAGGAGGTGTTATTTCATCAATGCAGGTATTATAGGGACGGTGTTTGTGGTGGTGATAGTCCTCATCCTCATCTTTCTCGGGAAAAAGATCAGAATCTCCATCGCTATCATCCAGGAGGCGGCCAAGTAACCACCACCTCCCAACACACACCGTGTGAAACTCATTAGCTCTGTGTCCACACATGCAGGGCGGTGGGAGGTGTTCCAACAAGTGTGTTCTATCCTGTTCTCACCTGGCTCCTCCTCATAATGCTCTTCTTGTACTGGGCCGTTGTGGCTGTGTATCCCCCTTTACCTATATACCATCTCTATATACGTTATACATATGTACTGTGTTAGCCAGGTTCACAATATGTCGCATGGCCCCATCGCACCGCGCCGTGCCGCGAGGATCTATCTTCGCGGCACGGCGCGACGGGGCAGTGCGACATATTGTGAACCTGGCCTTACTCCTAGCTTGGCCTACTTTTGCATGTGGCACAGATCACCTGCATGTGATGTTTAGTTCCACTGTACCATATCCTATGCCAGTAATACATACGTACCTACATATATACACTCTCTTAGTCTATCGAGTTAGACTCTCACTCCTTGTGTGTGCCTTTTCTCCACGCATTAGTTTATAATACTAAGAACATGTGCAGAGAGAGAGATAGGGTCTAGCTCAAAATGGTACGTAACGGGTGATTCAGTATAAGTTCACTGCGTTTGTATACAGCTAAATGAGCCCCCGAGAGTGCCCCCCACACATCATGAATGAATGAAGCACAGAACCTATGTACATATGTTTGTAGCATGAGAATGGTTTTCTGACTGATGGCGTCTCTAGGTTCCTGCTGACAGCCTCCACTCCGACTTACCGTATTCTGGCCACCGAGACCCTGAGTGTGGAGGCATAGGACCATCTCAGAGCTTAGCTCAGATCGCTCTATATGGAGACATCTGTGACATCGATGTAGGGAGGGAGGGGAGGGGTTAGGGGGAAGGAGAGAGGAGGAAGGGGTTTGAAGTCATCTTTAATGGCCTGAAGGCATGAAAAGCACGTACAGTGTGCACTCACCCTAACTTACCCTATACACCCACTGCTACAGTATCCATTGTTGTCCATTATTGATGCCTGCCCGTAGCTCACATTTTTTGCACAGGAGATTAATGCTCTGGATCTGGAGGAGATCAACAATGCCTCTACCATGGCAGGGTCCTGGTGGATACCACCATGGGTGTACTGGCTGTCTACAATGGCAGCAGAAAGATCGGCAACATCAGCTGCCTCTTTGACGAATTTGTCACCTCCAAGTACGTTTATATCAGTTGTGGCTATGACAGGTGCCAAAAGCATACGTATACATACATAGCGTATGACAAGTAAATCGTTTCTCTTACCTGAAGAGTTTGAGCATTTGTTGCCTTGGCTAAGTCCACCATTTTGTGTTTACGACTGACGCGCGTGCATACGTTCCACGTTTCGGTCTCATCTTTGCATTCGCATTCTATACTGTACATTGACTGCAGTACTCTACTGGGGATGCACATCTACCACCTGTTTGGCCTCCTGTGGATTGGTAAACTACATCCTGGCCCTGGGAGAGGTACGCTGGCCGGGGCCTTTGCCTCCTGGTATGGGCATACAGGAAAACCCAAGGTAACCCCCGGTACTCGCCAGTAGCGCTTGCGTCGCCCCTGGCTTCTACCAGCTAGGGTCTTGTTCTCTTTCTTATTGAGCCTCAGCACATCAATAGATACTGGTACTGGCATACAGGAAACCCAAGGTACATGTGTAACCCCCCGTTACCTCGCCAGTAGCGCTTGCGTCGCCCCTGGCTTCTACCAGCTAGGGTTCTTGTTCTCTTTCTTAGGAGTCTCAGCACATTCAATAGATACTGGTACTGGGCATACAGGAAACCCAAGGTACATGTGTAAACCCCGCAGTACCTCGCCAGTAGCGCTGCGTCGCCCCTGGCTTCTACCAGCTAGGGTCTTTTTCTTAGGAGTCTCAGCACATCAATAGATACAATACAGTTGCCATCTAAGACTTGGCTATAGTGCTAGACTGGCCCCACATGGGTCTCTATATGCTACTATACGATTTTATGTATAGAGTACGCATGCTTCTTTTTTCTACTCTCTGTGGCTAGTATGCTATAAGTATACTTTTCATATATAGGTCTCGATCTTTACACATGTATCTCATACTGCTATATACAGTCCTGTCCTGTATATGCCAATGGACCCTTGCCTGTAGTGTAACAATGGGACTGTGTATTGAGTGCCTTGATTCACTGGTTTTTGTATTGATGTCAGGATGTGCCGCTCTTTGCTGTGCTGGGCTCTTTAGGAAGAGCATTCCTGTGAGTTATGTCTTATAGTCTATTTTGCATACATTCCGCCCATACTGTGGAAGTGCTCTCCTTATCAATACGGGCACAAGCCCTAGCAAGAATAGACTTTGTTTCTGGATCCCTGCATCATGGCACTAACTTGTTATTTGCAGTTCATACAACTGCTTGCATCATTCATTTTCACGCACATTCATATTCCTTTATATTCCCCCAGATTCCACTCTGGGTCTCTGGCATTTGGGGCCCTCATCATAGCCATCATCCAGATGATCAGGATAATCCTGGCCTACCTGCAGAGGAAGCTCAAGGACAAGACTGGCAGGATCACCAAGATCATCTTCTGCATCCTCCAGTGCTGCTTCTGGCTCCTGGAGAAGTTCTTCAAATACGTCAACAGACAGGCCTACATCGAGGTGTGTATACAGGCTGTGTGTAACTAACTACTCATTGCCAACATTTTACTTGCTGAAATTGTGGCAACATTCTTTTGTGTGGGTTCTTTTGGATGCACATCCAGTAGAGATTGGTAATGGTTTTTGCCTCTTCTAGTGTGCTTACTGACTACACTACCCTTCCACGTGCGCAGAGTGGAAAAACTGGTTTGCGTATACTTTTGTCAAATGTGTATATGTACAACGACAGTGTTTGTGAGCTACTCATGTGTTTATCTACTGTTGTTAGATTGCCATCTATGGCTATGATTTTCTGTACTGGAGCTTGCAAGGCGGTCAAGTTAATGATCAGGAACCTCTCACGTAAGTCATAGTTTAGCTCTGTACATGCACTGCACATGTGTGGTGTGTTTGGTACATACAGACAGCAGTCAAAGACAGAATTGTGGCGTTTCTGCTGTTCCTGGGAAAGATATTTATTGTCTGCGTAATCGGTGAGTTTTCAGAAAATGGTATATAATAGGGCCCAGTGCATAATGCAATGTCCTTGTTTTAGTAACATTTCTTGTAAAATTAAGTGTCACATTCCGTTTAATATGTTTTCTGTGCATCGATGACATTATTATGAGAATTTCCATTTCTGTAGGAGTGCTGGCCTACTTAGGGTTTGGGCCATATCAAGACCAGGGCGAAAAGCTGTGGGGCCAACCCCTCAATTACTACCTAATCCCTGTCATGGTATGTGTAATAATTATGCATTGTGCAAACTATTATGCTGTGGTCTGCAATGAATATGGTTTTGTTGCCACAATGTTCGGTAACGCTGGCGTATTTCATAGCGTCTGGGTTCATGAGTGTGTTCCACATGGCAGTTGACACCATCTTCATCTGTGCACGTACGTAAGCCAATGTATCTCTTGCACGTAACCAGTTTCAAATTGATTCCTGGTGTTATCATGTTCGAAAACCGCATGTGGTAATAGGTAACGTCGGTTGGACAAACTTCAGCCCCTGGCCATATGCCATAAGTGATGTATGGTGGGGTACTGCGTTTGCGAAAAATCCTTGCTATCTACCACATTTTTTAGTAAATAGTGAGTTTTTCTGACCTCTAAGATCAAAACTTCTTGTGTACAGCGTAGTTTAACTGATTGCAACGAAGAAACTCATTTCTGTCTTTGAAAAGTGCATAGGTGTGGTACTGGTTTTGTTATGACACAGTCTGTTGGAAAAACTACTCATACCATATGTGTGTGTGTAACCTCTGCCCCTCGTCCCTCCAGTGGAAGACTACGAGAGGAACGACGTGACGGAAGAGAGCCCTACTTCATGAGCGACAACCTCAAGAACTGCTGGGAGTCAAAAACAAGTTTGACAGGACAGACGGGACATGACGGGCCCAGCTGGCGAGGTCTCCGGGGGTGATAGCTGGAGCCAGTCGACTCTAGTAGCAAACCTGTGATGATAACTTCTCTAACTCCCTATCTGTCTTAGATTGCACGAGCCAATAACCGTTATTAACCATTCCCCATATTTTAATGCCGATATAATTATGTATATATGTACGTAAGTAGCCTTTATCAGCATCGATATCGTTTTAGACTGTAATTAGTTTTTTATCTTATTCCAAGTTGCTGATAACACACAGTATAATAATCATCATGCCAATCAAAAAGTGTGGTACTTTTGTAAAAAATATTGTGCCTATTCAAAAGTGTGGCCTCGCATTTCTTCATGAACTTCAACATGAATGCGGCAATAAAGGCAGCCCCAGCGATGTCGCTACCCCCACTGACTTTCTGACCATCTCCTTGGCCTTCCTCATCTGCTGCGGCTGACCCTGTAATCTTACACTTAGCGACGGCCTCAAAGTGTTAGGAAGACGTCCAGGGCCCTTGAGTGCTCATGTTGATTCTAGTGCCAGTCAGGTTTTTCTATGGCCCTAACATTTGCCCCCCTTCCTGCCAATGACTCGTCCACAATGTTGACTCGGTATATCGATTGTCTCAGTGGTCGCTATATGTAGAGCCGTCTTGCGACGAAGGTTCTGGACTATGAGAAACAGAGCCTTCTTGCAGTTCTCCTTTTCGCCAATTATGACTACTCTTGTGTTTGGCTGCCGTGTCACTTCCTTCTTTTCAACCCTGATTTTTGTGTCTGTCTTTGATTCTACAACTCTGCGATTCTTCCCGTCTCTTCCAATGACAAAGCCAGCGACATCTCCTGGACACTCAAAAGCAAGACAACCTATCTCCCCACCATCTGCACAGAAGAGCATTGATTGACATTATTGTTGACAGAAAGACAAACTTACCGCCGGTTTCAGGACTATCGGTAGACTCAAAAACACCTGGCATTTCTTTCTGGGTTGGTTTTGCAGCGGCACCCTTCATCAGGTCTGGAGACGGCGGATCACTCGGTTTGCGGGATGCAGTTGGTTGTGTAGGAGTGGAAGGCATGTGTTTATCTCTCTCCACATCGTCGCCCCCGGCATTAGTGGATCCTCCTTTTAGACTGGGAGGGTCAAACCTGTCGTCCAGCTTCAGTCGAGACAGTGGTAGCATCAGACCGTGGCCATCATCACAGGTGAAGTACCTCTTCCCAAGAAATTTTCCTGAGTGCCCTCCTTCAACTACCTCATCCTAGGAAACAAATACTGAAGTAGTACTGATAAGGAGATACATGTGTACTGTACCATTTCTACGCCGGCGAAAGTCCCTGGGCAGTCAGTGTTGACCGGCCCAATATAATAGATGACTCCATACCATGGTTTTGGCTTGTGATCAACTTTCACCAGTTGACCTACTTCAAATGAGCTGGAGACACCTGCTTTTATAGGTGAGGTTTCCGAATTCTTGGCCAACTCGGTGGCGGTTTGACTGTTTGATGGACTGCTTGCAGACCGTCTTGGACCACTGGGCGAGGAGCTGGGTTGAAAGGAGGGGTCGTCGCTGATTGACATTTTCTGGAGCCTCTTCATGCGAACTAGATCACGTTCACTAGTGGGAGTGCCGCGGGTGGCAGCATCACGTGCCGTTTCTTGAACCGGCATGATACCACCACACTCCAGCTCTATGGACAATGTACCACAGACAGCGTAATGGTGCTAGTAAGAGGCGTATGCATGGCTACCTGGGAGTGCACGTTGAAGATCATCTAGTATGGTCCGTAGACCTGCTGCTCTCACTGCTTCATCAACTTTTGGACAGAGGCACCGCGTCCTTCACGCATCTTCCACTGCTCGAAGAAACGGTGGATCTGTTCCTTGAGGTCGTGCTCGTCTCCGCACACGATAGCGTCGATGTCTGTGGTGCTGAATTCCAGTACTCGGGCCACCGCCTTCCAGTTTCTCCCGATATGGTCCTTCAGCTCCTGTATCACTCGGGCTAGCTGGCTCCCGTCCACTGAGGCTGTATATGCGATAGATATCCAGGCTTACATTTTACATGAACACAGGCACAGCGCACTTACATGTCATTTTCAATGGAGCTAGCTAGCTAGGCGGCCGGCCAAAGTCTAGTCACGCCCCACGGCCACAGTGCGCGTGCAGTAATGGGTGTGTTCGCGCATGCGCACCCGATTGCGAAGCAGTGGCGATATCGCGCGCCGAAACACTTCCGCCCCGACTATAATAAGCGTGAAGGCTTTCTCCGTGGTGCACCTTGTCAGTAGCAATGCTGACACACACAAAATTTCCTTTGCCCACTCCTTTTCAGCTACACCCATCCAAAGTTAGGTTCTTACTTTTTATGGCTTTGAGGACACTTTTTTCAGAGAGCTGCTTTAGGTGGTGGGACTCGAACTTACCGCATTCTGTTCACTAGATGAGTGCTCTACCACTGAGCTACCAGAAAGTCTGCAATACAACGCAACACAAGGTAGTATAGCACAGAGTACTATGTAGGAAGCAGTTGACATGTGTTTTGGCGCTTTCATGCCGTGGGTGAGATGCATCTTGTGGCCAATTTTTTTAGCCATGATCATTGCCATGTTAGCAACCCTGTTTACAGACTTTCTCTTGAGCGAGTATAATGGGAACCCTATGCTATTACAGCAAGTCAGGGACTTTTCTCAGTGGCATATTTTGGTCATCAAAATCCCTTATAAATATGCCATACCAGCAGCATAGAGGGTTGTTGAGATCTCTCCAGGGACTTTACTGGTCTTCATGGATTCACCAGGGGTACCTGGATCTGTTTGTGTCGATACCACACCACATTCAACTACGTCCAGTTTCGTGACGTCAAAGCATCTCAAAGATATATCTTGCGGGGATGTCAGTTTTAGTCTCTCAAGGACAGAATTTGGCACAACAATGAGACAACGAATGATCCAGGCCTAACTTTAGGTTCAGCATCAGTGCAAAGTCACGCAGCCTATAGTGCCTTGCCAAACGCAATCTAAACCTTTCAACATCTAGCAGCGTTGTTCCCTCCGAAATAGGTGTTTCAAACTTTGCCACGATTTTTGAAAACCCCTCCGGTGGCTCGATATCTTCTTCTTCTATCTGACAAAAGAGTTTCAAAAGTGTGCTGGACCTGAACTGTGTAAGGCGTTTATCATATAAACTCATTTCTTCTTCGGCAACCGTTTTGAGCAGAAATTTACGAACCAGGTGGTAAAGCAATTGAGGGGAGAGATAGTTCCAGTGGAGATTCAGACGTGAAAATAATGGCCTGTGTTCTCTGCATTTTTCAAGTTTATCTAAGTTCTTTTCAAAGTAAGGCTCGTGCTGAGACATATTAGATGCCGACATATTTGTCAGATTGAAGACAATTATGTCTACTGTAATGCGTTTCATTTCAAGCAAAGTGAGAACTATTTTCCTGAGCTGGGAAAACATATTTTCTAAAATCTTGATATTTTCTTTTACTTTGTCAATAACATCCTTTCCTGTGGTGTTTTTTTACAGTAAGAGCAGCACGAAGCATTAGGCAAAACTCACCAAAATTTGGAGACACTATAACACTGGTAGACATCTGGGACTGAGATGATATGGAAACAGGAGCTGGCCCACATGGAGCAGAACTTCCTGGAGATGAAAAGAAGGCCTCATTATGGCTAGGTACGATTACCTGGGATTGCATTCGCTCCTAACTAAATGATAGTGCACTAAAGGCAATTCTTAGTAATATCCGATGATCTAGAGGAATTTGATGGTCCTAAATTCAGCCTAAGTGATAATGTTGCAGATGGCTGTGTCACATAATCATACCAGTTGCTGCAGAGGGAAGAGGACAAAACCTCCGCTCAATATCTTGAGCCAAGCGAGGCTGATTAATAAGTGGACCTCTGAGGGCATCTACAATGACCCTCCATGTAGGACTGGGCTCCTCTTGCTTCACAAACTCATCAATGATATGAAACAGGCGATCCTTTGTCTAGAAGACTGTAGATGAATCGACTCCACTGTGGCTTTGGGAACCTTCAACACACGTCCTAAAATTTCTGATTCGTTTCGGACGTCAAATATCTCTCGAACTACCGCTGGGACGTCTTTAGCATTCAGTACATCCCCATCCACAACCGGCCCTGTTACGATAATGAATCAAGACCACTGCCATGATATCGATACTCCGATCATCTGCTGCAATTTACCTGTCGCCATAGCTTTGCCCTTCTGTGTTTTCCTCCCTCTTTCTGTCACGACTTTAGGGTTGGGTGGGGCCAGGCTGCAAAACAGTGTTCATGCGCATGCCCAACGGGCCGGTGGGATAAAGTTAGCGCGCATGCCCAACGATACAAGCCCCGGCCCCCCTCTTGCGCGCCCCCCCTCGACTTCTTGCTCCGAGTTCCGCCCATTATTGGCAAAGCTCATGCGCCCCAGATCTAGTAAAACTGCGCTTGCAGATATGGGATACATCATACGCACAAAAAACATTGCTCATGATAGCATTGTGAGTTATCTATGTGCTTTGTAGGCAGTGTGTAGCTTCTGAGCGTGGGCTTTTATGCCATCAGCCAGTGAATGGAGATCAGACTGTTCCAGAACTTTTATAAGATTTTGCCAGGTCACTGGAGTAGGCTCTGATCTTAGCCAACATCGAAGAATCTTCAGTACGATACAGTTTGTTTGGAAATGACATTCAAATTCAATGCCCTCAACTTGGGCACCTGTCGTATCATTGAGGAGAAGTGTTCCAAAACTTGCGTATTTGGCTCCAACTTTTTCTGGGATTTTGAGTCTTAACATTTCAGGAAGGTCTGGCTTTGAGTTTGCATCTTCATTCATCCACAAAAGTTGTTTGGCATCTGGTTTATATGTGGTAGATTCCGCAGCAGCGAAGTAGACATTTATTTCCAAATTCTGCAAAATGTTTTTCTTTGGTGCAAGTGCAAACAACGGCAGGTGTAACTTCAATGTCAAGCTGCATTCTTTCAATAACTATCTGGACTGCACCTAATACTTTCATACCTATTTCACTGCAAATGTTGGCAGCTGAACTGTGAATGCTATCATCCAAACTAATGTGAACTTCAAGATGTCGGGTAAAGTCAACAAGAACAATGTCTACAACAAGCTCTGGGTCATGGAGGGAGGCAATGTTGTGGGCAAGGCATTTTGGTACGCCACTTTTCGTGGTGACTTGCATACCATACGTGGAGAGAAGACAGGAGATGGTGCTACCAAAGCAGCCAAGAGGAACACAGCCACTGCTGAACTTGACGACTAGTGGAACAGTGTGAGATGTTTTGGGAAAATAATCATGGAGTTCTTGTTCAGAAATAGCAGGCTTCAAACACATCATCAGGTACTCTTGCTTTTTATTATCAACAGGGAATTCAGGGTAAAGTGGAGCTAAAGTGAAGTTATGACAAAACAGCTTAATAGCATCTTTAACCTCGTAGATGCCTTTTTGAAAGTGGGGTGAAATCTTGCCATAGCTAAGTAATTCTTCTGTGACAATACCATTGTTTAGTTGAGTCACAAGTTTCATAGGGAAGTTGTCAAACTCACCATTATTCACTTTGTACATGAAATGAACTATTTCGTTGACAATGTCCAGGGGGACCTGCGGATTAATGAACACATGACCTGGTAGAATATCTCTGAAGTAAAGGAAGGTGTTCTGGCGATGTAACAGGACCAAAGCAGCCTCCACCATTTCATCACTCATTTTAAGTTTTGCACTAACCAGCTTGCATTCCTCAAGGGTCAAGATATCGCGCTTTTTGTCAGTTTCAGCAAACTGGATCAGGTCTTGCTCGAAGACAAAAAATGACGTGGGTGTAGCAAAGCTCTTTCCAGAACCTGGTTTTCCAACTTCTTCGCGTATCAGGTTTAAAACCTTTCGGTCATCATCATCTGGATTGTTTAAGTTCAAGACGTAGGCTATTTTATCAGGTGATTTGAAAAGAATGAGCTCGTCTTTAAAGGTAGGAAGTAAGATGCTCCGCAACTCACGGTTGAGTACTTCTACATGAGTCTGTAAGTTACCTTTGACACAATCACGATGTGTAGCTACAATGAGAAGGCGAAAAGCTTCCTGAGAATATTTCTTGACTCGGAAGGTGGAAGCAAGCTTCAGGATAACATCTCTTTCAGAGTACTGAGAAGAGAGTCTACGCGGAAAACATTTTCCCTTTTTCATGATAATGAACCTCGGGATGCTCATTGAGACCACGCTCAAGACTGACCACGACTATTCCAAGGTTGGCGTGGTGGACGAGTGACGGCATCACTTCCATTAGCTCAGGTTGACCGCCTGTGTCTATCATGTGGACTAGTTCTAGTACGAGACTACGGTCTACTCCTGTGGCTGATTTGACTAGTGGAATCATTTTCTGGCAGGTTTGACTCTCCTGCAAAGTGGTAGGGGAAGATTCAGCCACAGCATGCATAATGCTAACAGCAAGATGGTGAACATTGTCCTCCTTCATTCCAACTTGGATAAGAGGGGCGAGAAACTCACGAATGTTCTCATAAGAGAGTCGCTTCCATGCTCCACCCACAAGATGCATAATATGGCGGAGCAAACCTCGAAATGACCGCTCTGTAACACCTGTGCTTGTATACAGGTCTGGGGGTGCCAGGCCAAAAAGATGGAACAAGAGAGTGGTCTTCCCTGCTCCCATCAGACCTGTAATAACTCCCACCACATTCCTCTGCTGCAGACTACCTGACTCCATTGCTTTGTCTATGATCTGTTGAGCTCTCTCGTCTGTCATTGCCACTGGACTCTCATCTGTCGTACCCACTGGAATGTCTGGTGGGATAAAGGTATTATAAATATGTGCAGGACACTTGGACCTAGGTTAGAATGTACAATTATAACACTCTATACCTATGACCGGTATTCAAGGCGAAACCTGGCAACTGTAGCTAATGGAACATTCCCACCGACTGAGGCTTTAATAATATTATGGATTAGTCCTGCTCCCAGCCAAAATCTTTGGTAATTAATATTATTCCTTTATAGCACTTGAGCTGTTGGGCCAATTCATAGCCTGTATTGCTAGAATAGTGGTAACAGGCAAACACAGAGATAGAGACGCGTAAGCCTCGCTACAAATGCGCGACGAGGGTTAACTGACTACCAGGACTCTGCGTTGCATTGATGGGCCTTTTCTTCATAATGCAGTCTGGTAAGGGTGGAAAATTTATGCGCACTTTAGAATCTTCAAACTGACCAGGCATAATGAGAGAGAGAGAGAGAGAGAGCCAACTGTTTATTAACGGAAAACTAATCCTGAAGCCTAGAGATAATTATGTTAAAAGGCTTTTTGAACTTACATGATCACGAATGATCAAGTAGTGGTGTGAAGGGAAAAACAAAGTTGCATGTTGAGCTATTTTGTGTTGTCTCGTTGCACGTAGTCACAGAAAAAACGTGGTACAGGCAGACAGACAGACACACACACACACACATTAACAAACCAACTACCATAACCCTCGCTGCGCATGTGCGCCGAGGGTTAATCATAAGCATTTACCCAGGACAGGCACATCTGGCATTCCATTGCCAAAAGTGTACCCTTCGGCCCCCATTTCCTTCATGAACTTCAACATGAATGCAGCAATAAAGGCAGCCCCAGCGATGTCGCTACCCTCCACTGACTTTCTGACCATCTCCTTGGCCTTCTCAATCTGCTCGGCTGACCCTGTAATCTTACACTTAGCGACGGCCTCAAAGTTTAGGAAGACGTCCAGGCCCTTGAGTTGCTCAATGTTGATTCTAGTGCCAGTCAGGTTTTCTATGGCCCTAACATTTGCCCCCTTCCGACCAATGACTCGTCCACAATGTTGACTCGGTATATCGATTGTCTCAGTGGTCGCTGTATGTAGAGCCGTCTTGCGACGAAGGTTCTGGACGATGAGAAACAGAGCCTTCTTGCAGTTCTCCTTTTCGCCCATTATGACTACTCTTGTGTTGGCTGCCGTGTCAACTTCCTTCTTTTCAACCCTGATTCTTGTGTCTGTCTTTGATTCTACAACTCTGCGATTCTTCCCGTCTCTTCCAATGACAAAGCCAGCGACATCTCCTGGACACTCAAAAGCAAGACAACCTATCTCCCGACCATCTGCACAGAAGAGCATTGATTGACATTATTGTTGGACAGAAAGACAAACTTACCGCCGGTTTCAGGACTATCGGTAGACTCCAACTCTATGGACAATGTACCACAGACAGCGTAATGGTGCTAGTAAGAGGCGTACGCATGGCTACCTACCTGGGAGTGCACGTTGAAGATCATCTAGTATGGTCCGTAGACCTGCTGCTCTCACTGCTTCGATCAACTTTTGGACAGAGGCACCGCGTCCTTCACGCATCTTCCACTGCTCGAAGAAACGGTGGATCTGTTCCTTGAGGTCGTGCTCGTCTCTGCACACGATAGCGTCGATGTCTGTGGTGCTGAATTCCAGTTCCCGGGCCACCGCCTTCCATTTTCCCCCGATAAGTTCCTTCAGCTCCCGTATCACTCGGGCCAGCTGGTTCTCGCCGGCTAATAGAAGGTGGGCAATAGAGACCAACTGATCTACACTACATTGCTAGGTAGCAGCAGCAATTTACGTTACCTGACATTTCGGCCATGGGCCTGTGTGTGTTTCCTTCGGTGTTGGCTAGCTGCTCTCTCTTGACCACGCCCCACTGGCTGGCGAGTAGAGATGCGCATGCGCATAAAATAACCCTGCGATCGACTTTCGCCGCCGCATGCGTTGCTAAAATGGCGGCTTCTCCTCACACCCAGCAGAGCGAAGGTTCAGCTCCAGTTCAAGGCGGTCCAGATGGATACAGGGAAGTGGTATGTGCAGTTCGTTGTGAGTGTATACGTTTAACGTTAAACGTTTTTGTGTGGAAGCTTCTAAGCTTTTGTAGTGTTTTGACCGTGTAGTTGTGTGCTTGGTTCCCAGGCCGCCGAGACTGGGGACTACTACGGGATCATGGCGCGCGGGTTGCCGTACGACGCGACCAAGAACGAGGTGGCCGAGTTCTTCTCTGGCTGCCGCGTCAGGAACGGTCATGACGGGATCCACATTCTGGTGGGTCAGGATGGGCGGCTGCAGGGAGAAGCAGTGATAGAGCTGGAGGGACAGGAGGACCTGGACAAGGCCAAGCAGCTCAACAACCAGATGATGGGTCGGAGGTACATTGAGATCTCTCCTCTGAGCCAGGCAGCGGCTGATCAGACACTAGCCAGTCAACCAGGAGTGAGTGTTGTATAGTGTAATACATAATGTACATAGAATGGGGGTGAGGTTCATCTCAGGGTGTGTGTATGTGAGGCTAACCACAGTTTGTGTGGGCATTTCCCTGTGAATGGGCACTCCTGTGATTGTGTTTTGGCCACGAGCTATAAACGGTGCCTGAGCAGTCAAGCACATTTCATAGGCGTGGAAGAATCTCCTTGCATTGTTCCTTTTTGACGCACCTGTTTAATAGAGGCTTTAGTAACGTGGGTGTATTATGGCCTCTAGATGGCTTTGTTTACACCTGTTTCCATACGTCATTGAGGATATGTGAACACTCGTGTGACTCACCCTTTCTCCTTGCCCGCAGGGAAGTAGCACAGAGTTTGTGGTCCGTCTGCGAGGCCTGCCGTACTCGGCGACCTCACGAGAGATTCTCGACCTCCTCAACGACTGCCAGGTCGCGGGCGGCGACAAGGGGATCCGTTTCTCCTTCGCTCCCGACGGCCGGCCCTCGGGCGAGGCGTTTGTGGAGCTAGCGTCCGAGTTAGATGTGAGTAAGGCCCTGGGGCACAACAAGGAGCATATGGGGAAACGATACGTGGAGATTTTCAGGGCCACCAAAGGGCAGTTGGAGTGGGAAGGCCGTATGTCGGAGAAAGTTGGTGGGGGAGCTGGGGGAGTTGTGAGACTGCGGGGGTTACCTTTCAAGTGTACAGAGGAAGATATTCGACAGTTCTTCCAAGGTTTGGGATAAGCCTCAGGAGTGGGGTGCTCATAATATACACCTGTACTGCTTGGGTACTCTGTGATCAGTGTGTGTGTGTGTTTGTGTGTCCACGCTAGCACTGGCTGCTACAGACGCATTATGTGAGAGTAAGTTAGGGGAACTGTGCAAATGTGTAAAGTGTGTATTGAGAGAGGCATTTGCATGTGTGTAATACATAATTATAAGTCACCGGTTTGCATGACCGGAGTGAGCATTGGTAAGCTGCACATTATGCATTAAAGTAAGATGCAAGTGCTGTAACAGAGCAAAAGCTTAGCCTTGAGCAAGAAATAAGATCAACGTAACTGAATGCCTTCTTAAGACCCACCGTGTTGACCATGCTCTAACTCTGTCTATTTCTGCCGCTCCCTACATGGACAGATATGCCGATAGTAGCTGGAGGTGTGACAATGCAAGTGGACGCGGAGAACCGAGGGACTGGCGAGGCCTACGTGGAGTTTGTGAGACCAGACGACGCCGAAAAGGCTCTGTACAAGAACAGACAGATGATGGGACACAGGTACTGTGCGTGTGTGTGTGCCTGTGTGCGTGCGTGTGTGTGTGTGCCTGTGTGCGTGCGTGTGTGTGTGCCTGTGTGTGCGTGCTACACTGCCCTCTGTACTGGTACAGACTATTTATGGACATTTCCGAGCTGCTGGAGTTGGGCATGTGACGTTGCCAGGTTGTTGGCCAATAGGTTTGATTGTGGCTTAGTTCACTCATGTGCTTGTAGAGTGCAAACACACCCATGACACGTCACAGTTCACGTACACAAGACCAACAGCTTCGCCATGATGCATACTCAATGCGCAACCACACTTCAAAACTTTGATAAACTGTGCAGTTCTTACATGCATACATAGTATGCATCCAAATGGGTGGAGTCTAATTACACATTCTTGAAATGCTTGCCAGGAATAATTATATGACCATAAAACGAGCTATGCAGTATTAAACACCCTAAAACAAGAATCCTAAACTCCTACATATGTGTAGTTCAAGGCCCAGATTCGTTCACGTGTTTATACTGGGATTGAACACGTAACTTGTTGTTGAACTGTAGATTCTTTTAATGAGACAATTACCGGGACTTCCCCTGTAATCTCCACCCCCTGTAATGTCGTGTCTCCAGATACATAGAGGTGTTTCGAAGCACCCACACGGAGGTCCGTCCGACCAACATGAAGGAGACACGCTGGCGTGGAACCCCCTACAGTCGCCCACCACCACAGGGGCAGTGGGGAGGAGGAGGAGGAGACAGAGGAGGCTACGGCGGGTACGGTGGATACGGAGCTGGCGGGTACGGAGGGAAATTTGGGGGCGGGTACGACCGAGGGGGGAGAGGGAGGGGCCGGGGTATGATGCGGGGTGGAGGAGGAGGGTATAACAACTACGGGGACGCCGGGGGAGGTCCGGGGTATACTCCGTACCCAGAAGGAGGGTACAATTACAACACCCCGCAGCCGGGGTATGGACAGTATAATTCGGAGTAATGGTGGCGGAGGTCCGGGAGGGGGTGGAGGTGACTCTGGACACATGGTGGCTTATCCCCCAATACGACCAACCCAGGGAGGCAGGGGAGGTTTCGACGACCCTGCAGAAAAGGCTCGTCACACCATCAAAATGAGGGGGCTCCCCTATTCCGCAAAGGAAGAAGATATAACGAAGTTCTTCCAGCCGCACGTCCCTGCCAAAGTGGTGGTGGAGTTTGATCAGTTTCAGAGGCCGTCTGGGAGTGCAGAGGTGTTGTTTAATACTCACGAGGAGGCTGAGAAAGCCATGGACAAACACAACGGACATATGGGTGAGGGGCGGTGCAGAAACACCGCTGATTTGCGGCCAGAAACACCGCTGATTTGCGGCGCAGAAACACCGCTGATTTGCATACATAGCTCTATACAGCACGATGCACACTTAACAACTATTGTACAGAGGAAATCGTGTGAGAATGAACCACAAAGGGCTAAGAATTCCTTATAATATGGGAAAATGGACCTATATGGCTGGAATGTGAAAATTAAGTTTTTGAGGAAACACCACAAAAACTTTAATTTTCACATTCCAGCCATAATTATAGGTCCCTTTTCCCATGCCCCCTCACATATTACCATCTTGTTGTGTCAGACTGCTACGGATTATTGATATTTTCAGTATAGCACTTCTGCAATACTGAGGTTATTTTGTTTGGTGCAGCATTTTTTCGCGAAAGACCTGTAAAGCCATAATATATATGTGACACCCAGGAACGTATTATGTCTGATTGCAGGTCATCGCTACATTGAGCTGTTCCTATTGTCTCGACCTGGTAGTGATGGAGGGATGGGAGGGAGGGACGGTGGAGGGGGGGGAGAGTACGGAGGCCGAGGAGGAGCTACTGGAGCGGCCAGGTACCCCCCACAGACCACCTGGGGTGATACAAGGAGTGCTCAGGTACATATGTACACTTGTATACTAGAGGAATGCTGCACGTTTTTGGCGAGAAAAGTGAGCAGTTTGCTTTTTCATGTGTTTCACGTGTATTTAGAATCACGTAGAATATTACGTTTATGTGCAGTGCCCGTCACACAGAAATTCCTGCATTCAGAGGCTCTCTTCACTCGCCATATACACACATAACTTCCCATACTGGGTTAACATCTCTGTGCTAATAAGTATGATGTGTATAAATGTGTTGAAGCTTAAGAAGCTGTACTGGAAAGACTCTGGGCACACGGTCTTATACAACTCTTGCGTGTATATACAGTAGTTAGCCTTGGCTATCCCGCGGTTGGTTTTTTCTAGTGATCCTTATTCAGGTTTGCTAAACCGTAAGAAGCTGCGTATACACATGTCTGCATACAGCAGCTCCTTTACAATGCACAATGTTTAGCTACTACCTAGTCTAGTTGTACGTGTATCATGTATCGTGTCTGTACTGTGTCTTTAGCCACAGGGAATGTATGGTGGGAGTGCAGTGGCCAGTCAGCAGCAGCCTCAGCAGTACGTGCAGCCATCCTATGGTGGATATCAGCAACAGCAGCAGCAACCTGCGCAGCCCCAGGCCCCCCAACAGTGGCCACAACAGGTTCTTTGGATTACCAGCTCACAATATTTTTATCGCTATTGTTTTCCGCTTTATGCCAACTTGCAAGGGGATTCAACATCACACAATAGTCATTGTGTGAAAACCATGTACGGGGGGCACCCCTCTCAGAACGACACTATTTAAACAAACAATTTCCATAAGTCTAAGCTGCCCTTGTGAGCTCAATGAGTAGAGTGCTCTGCTAGACCGCAGAGTGTTGTGGGTTCGGAAGGGAGAGAGGAAAGAGGGAAATGAGAGAGAGGGGCCACCCAGGGGAACTCTCCAAAAGAATTGTTTTAGGAGTCGTTGACTTTGCCGTTGTCTTGCGACCTCACCAATGTTAACGTGTGATCTTTTTTTGCTCTGTGCCACATTCTACCAGGGAGGTTACCAGTCTTCGGGAGGCTACCAGCAGGGGGCCCTGCAGGGGGCCCAGCAGGGGGGCCAGCAGCCCTCCTACCAGCCCCAGAGTGGCTATCAGACACAGACTCAGCCAGTGTCGGGCTACCAGCAGCCTCCACCCACTGGCCAGGATGGGTACTCCCAGCTGCAGCCTCAGACACAGTGGTACTGAGAACAGGCTCACCACAACAGCTGACCGAAATGTGTATAATACTACTCCCAACGGACTTTGGATCACATTTTTTTGCTAATGATTACTTTTCTTCTTCTCTCTGTATTATTATACTGTTGTTTGTGGATTTTTATTCAAAGTGCGCTTATAGTTCGCTAATTGGTCCCATGAAAAGCACGTGACGTGTTACGCGCCCACTACGCTCTTAATCTTCTGTCGTAACGGTAGAAGATGAAAGTTGCGTTGCTGTCGGATTTGGTCGGCGTCGTGAGTTGAGGTTTAGGCAGTAGTAGTTGTACTTTAGAAGGCTAACTGGACTACAGAGTCGCGGTTCGACTCTGGGATATCATAAAGACATGGACAGTCGCTTGAGGTACGTTGAATGAGTAGTTTTTCCTCACACAGCTCCCCGTTTGGCTGGAAAAGGTAGTAGAGACCGTGTGAGAGTAACAGCAGTAACCTAAGAAATCCTGGTTCATTTCACCACGTCTACATATCCCCAACAATGAAAGTTGAGCAGTTCTGAACTATGTTTTTCAGTACTAGGTCTCCTGATGGCACATCCTCACTGTAGAACAAGTAGTGCTTCCTCTGTAGTGTTGGCTGGAGTTGCCATTACAGTAGGATTCAGGGAAGGGAAGACGCAGCCAAAGCATAGCTATTATAGAGCTTTGCCAAAGGAACTCTTTGTAATACTTCCTTGACATGTTTTCACTTCCCCTATCATCAATGCTTTACACTCACTCTACATGTCTTCCCTTCTTATTATACTAATGCCCCGCTAGTTGGCTCATAGGGTTATATTTCTCCACACCCGAGAAAGAAGGCTTTTCCTGCAGAATGCCAAATCTTATTTGTTCGTCCCTCATAACGTTTTCGGTACTGCACCAGGCTTTATTATGATGTTGTGAATCTTCCTGTGAGTGAAAAATAGGACTGCCACTGATCCAGTAACATGCAGGAAGCACAGAGTATGTAGCGAACTTTGGTATGTAGTTACATTTGATTAGTGGTTTGTGTCTGCTCCGGTATCACGATTAAAACATCACGTTTAATCTCAGCACGGTAAGCTACATACAAGAAGAATGAACTCACGTCAACGGCAAGGTTGAAACCAAAGGCAAATCAACAATTTTATTCAGGGATTCTGATGAGTCCTCCCGGCCCTTGGTGGGATTAACACCACACTGGGCTTGTCATGTGTAATACTCTGCAACAGCTGCCTATTATTTCAGGCCTCAGATCATGACCCTGATAATTTTGCCATCGCTACACACACTACTACACGTTGTGTTTTCCCTTCCCTTTCCTTTCCTCGGTGTGTGTATGTATGTATATGCTGTTTGTGTTTCAAACCCCCACCTCTTGTGGACATAGACCCCGCGAGAGTGTGTGTTTTTACTGCTGGGGATCTTTAGTTGTCCGCGGCCCGACACTCGTATTACACTGAATAGAGTCAGTTTGACTAATTACAGGCAGTCACATCTACAGTGTGACTGTGCCTGGCACAGAGGTACACACTTTCACAATGCTGACAAAATGCCTCTATGAGTGAATATACATAGAACTGGATGACACACAGTTTGGGTGGGGAGTGAGAAAGTAAGGCAGAGCCCCAGAACAGTGTGCAATGCATCCACTACAAACTCCAGCTTTAGCCGGGGTACATGCTGCTGCACCTGTGTGAGCATGCATGACACGTTCTTATGTAGCTTTAATGTATGTATTTGTGCATATGTCATAATTTAGTGGACATTATACAAAACACGTGAAGTGATGGATGGAGTCGTACAGTAATTAGCTGTGGCTTGTGCCCTTATTTACAGACCTACTCACTCTTCACGTGTAAGTAGGTGGGCCTCCATTTCCTACGTACGTGCATGTGTGTGTTTTCTTTAGTGTGGGCACGGTGGGTGTTGAGGTAAGTACTGATTCAGTTTTGTATGTCTTAGATGGTCTCCATT